ATGAGTCCAGATGTTCTCATAGACAAACATGCACAATAACAACATCCTCTCCATTAGCATTCTTCCTTTCTTTTACCCAAATCCCTACTTTCTTGCCCAGTGTACCAGTTGTCTGTTGCCACAACATGCTGTATTACCAGGGTTGGGGGGACTAGAATCGGCTTAGATCACTCACAAGAGCCAACTGTTTAAAAACACATACCCATTATTTAAAATTACGTTATATAAACTTATGACTAAATTATATTAAAACAAAGGTAATACTCAAAACTTACTACATCCTAATTATTATATTTTTCTATTGTCTATGTTCTTAAACTTATTTATATTTATTGTATTATATGATAGAAACATTGTATACCGAGCATCTCTTCCCAATTCCACATTCTGTGATGTCATATTGGTGTTTGAAATCAGCTGCAGTGGAAGTATTTACATCATGAAAATAAGAAAAAACAAAGAACTAGGGCTTGAATTACTGATATTTTAGACATAAAGTGATATAGAGAATGCTGGTGATGTAGAGTAAACTTTGAAATGCATCATGTCCATAGCCCTTACGTTGTAAATAGCACAATGCAATAAGAAAATATTCTTCCAGTGTGTGAAAACTATAATCCAATTCTACAAAGAAGAAATTCACGATTGACAAATGAAGTTTACAACATATATCTTATCTATTTCATTTTTATCATGTGTGCTAAGTTATAATTGTCAATGAACCTTCCTCTCAAAATTGTACTTGTTCATCAATTGTTGTATATACAATTTTAGCAAAATCAATGAAAGCATTTTGTGAGGCTCAACTGTTCATAATAAATTTATAATAAAGAGTTATTGTTCATTTTATTATTTGTAAATGATATATATATATATATATATATATATATATATATGCATGCTTTTTTTTCCACAGAGAGCTAATTTATCAGTATACCATAGTGCTTAAGTCACTTGAAAATTTTAGTGGCTTAAGATGGCACCCATATATTATTTCTCCCTTCTTTGTGGGTCATCCAGGAGGTTCTGCTGATGCAGGCCAGGTTTGATTGATCTCTGCACTCTTTCAGGGGGTTTGTGAACACCAGACAGGTAGTGCCCATGTGCTAGAGTACCAATGTGGGACTCACTAGCAGGTGATTCCAAACTGATTCCTATCCTCAACTATTCAGTCTCAATATTATTAGTTGGGACAGAGCAAGATAGTTCCATAGTAGGAATGGTAGAAGCTACAGTGAGTCAAAGTAGGGCATCAGAGTTCAAGCAGAGTAAAGAGGGTAGTCCCATAGGAGAGGGCTTCATATGGGAGAATGGTTATATACAAGGGCATTGATCAAAGCAATAAATAGATTAAGAATAATGGAAATAATTCTCATTGTTGAGAAGAGAGTTACAAATACATAAAGGGGAAATGTTGGAATGAGCCTTGGTATTGTATCAGAATTGGAGATTCATATGACTTCATGGTTTTCAACAAATGGAGATATGCTGACTCACACACATGCACACGTGTGCACACACATATATACCCTCTAGCTCTGGCCACTGAATGGGACTGAAGGCAGTAACACTCCAACCAGTAATGAGCATACCTAGCACTCAGATCTTAGCTTATGAATACTAAAAGAAACCATAACTCCTTGGAGAAATGGTTGATTCAGAAAGCATAGATGAACCTAGACCACTTCATTATATTAGAAAACCAGAATAGCCTCATAAAATAATGGGTCTCATACAAAAGGGATAAACACCAACTTGAATGGATCATCCTAGTCAAATCAACAACAATTTGAGCATTAAAAAATAATAATAATAAGAGTGTTTTCAGACACTCAGGGATCGCCGCTGCTGGGGTGATCCTCGGTTTACACAGTTGGTGGCCGCAGCAGCAAAAGATGAGTGGAACTCTGGGAAAGGTGCTGTGCCTGAGAAATAGTACCATTTTCAAGCAGAGCTCTTCCTTCTTTTTTTTTTTTTTTTTTTTTTTTTGAGAGGTTTTCACAATAGGGCGCGTGCACTCACCAGACAGACAGAGAGAGACAGAGAAACAGAAAGCGAGAAATCACCCATCCCCCCCCCAGGGGGGATGGCCACGCCGCAATTCCTTCTCCTCCATTCTCCCCTCAGGATCTTGGGCACGCACACACATGCGCCCGGCATGAGTTTAAGCCACCTGGTCTGGGATGCGAACCGCGGTCGACTACGTGGGAGTCCAGTGACATAGCCATTTGCTAACTGCTGGTCCCAGCTCTTCCTTCTTAAGGGTCACACCTTCAGAAGAGAATCCCATCTATTCTGCAGGTGGCATTCTTTTGAGTGCCAGTCGGCACTACAAGACAAAACCTACCCATGGCATTGGAAGATACAGGCACCTGATTAAAGCAGAGCCCAAGAAGAAAAGGGGAAAACTTGAAGTGAGACCCATTAATCTGGGGACAGATTATGAATATGGGGTTCTGAACATTGACCTGACTGCATACAACATGACCCTGGCAGAGAGCTATGCCCAGTATGTTCACAACCTGTGCAACCATCTCTCCTTTAAAGTCGAGGAAAGTTATGCAATGTCCACCAAAACCATGGAGGTGATGCAACTGCAGGACCAAGGCAGCAAAATGTTCCTGGACTCCATCCTTACCACCCATGAGCGAGTGGTGCAGATCAGCAGTTTGAATGCTACATTTGCAGAGATTTTCTTGGAAATAATCCAAAGCAATCTTCCTGAAGGAGTCAGTTTGTCAGTAAGAGAACACACTGAAGACTTCAAGGGAAGGTTCAAAGCTCAGCCAGAACTGGAAGAACTATTGGCCAAGTTGAACTAGCTCTTGCAGACTCTTTCACGCCCATACTGTGATACTGAACGCCAGTGAGAAGAGATTCCTGGGTCGTCAGAGTTAAGCAGGAGACTCTGACCCTTAGCTTCACAAGTACCTGTCCCCACAGCCAGCTGCACCTTCCCTTCTCTGGCACAAGTGTGCTTGCCAGTCGTCACCCACTTACCTTTGAGCTAACCCTTGTTATCTTCCATCTAATAAAGTCTATGCTGAGGGACAAAATATAATAATAATAATAATAAAACTTAAAATTCACTCAATATAATAGAAAACCATCAATTTAAACAGGTATAAACAAGTAGATGAATAAATTGAATGTTTGATAAGGAATGAGATCTTTACATAGTTTCAAAGTCTCTCCCCATGAAATACATATCAATTACACAGGGAAAAAGAATAACTTTACAGTGGGAAAACCTAGAAGATGCCAATGATCAAATGATCAAAGTTAACAACACCCACAGCATGAAGAGTTATTTGTATCTTTTGATAGCATACAATGTAAAAGACATAATCTAACTTCTGTAATATCACTGCCAAAAATACATAATCTGAGTCCAATCATGAGGAAACATCAGACAAATCTAATTTGAGGGATGTGCTACAAAATAATTGGCCTATAAACTTCAAACCACCAAGACGATAAATATCAAGGAATATTCTAGACCCACAGAGGCCTAAGAGACATGACATCTAAATGCAGCAGGTGATTTGACATTACATCCTTTTTGCTGTGAGGCCATTATTAGGACAATTCACAAAACCTTAATGTGATGTAAAGATTAGATGACAATTTCCAGTGTAAAGTTCCTGATTTCAGTGGTCATACTATGGTGATATCGGAAAATGTCCTTTTTTGTGCAAAGTACTCTCTACAATATTCCAGGGTGATAGGGTATAAGCTGGAAATTTACTCTCAATAATTTCAGGAAGAAAAACTTCTGTGTACTCTCCTTTCAATTTTTGTGAGAGTTTGGAATTATTTCAAAATTTTAAAAGAGGAAACAGGCTGATTCTATGTAGACAATCACTTACTGTTAGCTAATAAATGAGATAAAACTAATATAATCACAGGAAGATTAGAGAGCAAGGTTTCCTCAAAAAAGATTTGTGACACGGTATTTAGAGAATCCTTCTCTAGTCTGCTGGAGGGCAAGGAAAGCTGTTTCCCATCTGCACGAAAGTCTTGGAGAGTGGGTGTATTTGCCCCAAAAGGAGCTATTTTGCCCCTCAGCTTGATGCTTGTGATGGGTCAGAAATTCATAGAGCCACTTAGCACTGAAACCAGAGCAGAACATAAAAAGATCCAGGCACAGTCTACCTGTCCGGAATTGGGCAGACAAAGAATACACAGTATCTCCTAGGAGCAGTGAACATCACTTGGGTCACCTTGGAGGCTTGAACCCCAAAGAATTGTCTGCTGAGCAAAGCAATCTTAGCAGCAAGAAGGTTGAGGAGGGGAGGATCTGAAGCAGGGAGAGGGGAATCATAAGTAGTCAGCAGGCAAGTACATCCTCCAGGTTAGAGGAGGGATAAGTGAGCAGAGCCTGGCATCCTTTTATAGAAAGGAGATTTCCTAGGAGCCTACCAAAGCACCTCGGGAGAGAGAAAGCCAGCATTTATCTAGCTGACACAAACAGCATCAACAACAGGATACAATGACACTGATACCAGCCTAAACCACAAAGAAACAGCAGCAGCACAGTAAGAAGTAGAAGAGGAAAGAAAGAATGAGAGAAATCACAGGAGAACTAAGCACACTTCATCCTTCCCCATTACAAGTTTCCAAGTCACGACAACTCATGACCTAGAAGTCTTAAGTTGAAAAAGTTTTTGAAATTTTAATATGGATGATTTTTTTAATCCTAGAAAGCAATATTTACATCCCTGAAACTAGGACCGGCAGATAGTGTAATGGTTCTATCGCTGGACTCCCATGTAATCGACTGTGATTCGAGTCCCAGCCCTGGCAGTATGAAATTCATGTCAGGCATGTGTGCACGTGTGCCCAAAATCTCAAGAGGAGAATGAAGGAGAAAAGATCATGGCATGGCCAACCCCCCACCAAGGTGATTTCTTGCTTTCTGTCTCTCTATCTCTCTCTGTCTCTCTGGCATGTGCACATGCCCTATAGTAAGAATCTCTCTTTTTAAAAAAATCCTGAAAGTGACCTGCCATCTCCCAGGAGACTTCAAAAAGTTTGTGGGAAAATGGAGGGACCAAGGTGACTAAAGTTAGGCTCTAAATCTCGTCTCCTAGATCCCCAAAACACTTAGACAAGAAGCTATTTTAAATCTGAAGTGTGTTCAGGGACCAAGGCGAGTAAAGTTATGCTCTGAACCTCATCTCCTAGACCCCTGAAATATTCAGACAAGAAGTGAAGAGATTTTGTCACAGAATGACCAGAAACCACTGCAGAGGCACAAGAAATATGAAAAATTAAGAAAATATCTCTCCCCTAAATGAAAATAACAATCCTTCATCATCTATACACAGAACAATGGAACTTGTGGAAATGAAATCAGAATATGCATAGTGACAAAACTAAATGAGATTAAATGAGATACAAGAGATGAGAGACAATGAATGCCAGAAGATGTAGGAGAAAAGAGACAACAAGTTCCAGGAGGTGAGGAAGTTCTTGCATAATCTGAAAGAGGAAATAAACACCATAAAAAGAATCAAATGGAGCTGTTAGAGACGAAGGCTGCAATACAGAAAATCAAAACCTCCCTCAAAAGTATTGAAAGCAGGTTAGTCCATGCAGAAGATCAAATCCCGGATGTTGAAGGCAAAACTTCTGACCTAGAAAAAAAAAAAAAAAAACTGAGAAAA